TGTGTGTGTGTGTGTGTGTGTGTGTGTGTGTGTGTGTGATATTTTAGTTTTCTTGTTTGGCAGTTAAAAACTATCAGACTTCTAATTTAAGTTTTATAAGTCATAGCTTCAAATTTTCTTTTTTTTTTAGGTCTAAATACTAGAATATCAGAGTCATTTCTTCTTCCTGCTGAATGGAATTTTGCCACAAGTGTTATGACTTAGCATCACTGTCAGTTTTATGTTTTGATAAGTTTCTGGTCTCGTGATAAGTATGAAGTACTTCATATGAGTTTTAGTCAAGAAAAATGACATCTATCCTAGTTGAAAATTTTACTTTTTTAATTAAGATGAGAATGCAATTTTTAAACAACCCCAGTGTTTTACTAACACTAAAATACATTTTTTCATTATTTGTTCATCTATTTAATAAATACTATCGAGGACCTAATTTATATCAGAGCTCTGCTAGGTGGCGGGAGTAAAACAGTGAGAAAAAATAGACGTGTGTTTAAAGACTGATTCATTTTCTGAATTTCTACATGAATATAATAAAAATACAAAAGAGCTTGCATGAACAGGGACAAAAGTACCACACTAAGTAATAAAAGATAAAATTCTCTATTTCTTCTTAACTTTCAGAAGCCATCTGGATTTCTGTCTGTCTTGGATGAAGAAAGTCAAATGGTTTGGTCAGTGGAACCAAACCTTCCAAGAAAGCTGCAAAGTCTCCTAGAATCCTCAAACACAAATGCAGTGTATTCCCCCGTTAAAGACGGGAATGGGAACGTTGCCCTCAGAGATCAAGGCTCTGCATTTACTGTAATGCACTACGCAGGAAGGGTAAGTTGAGAGAACTGCATAATTTATCATACACACTAATGAGCCAGGGGCCTTGGGGCAAGTTTTAGAGTTTTCGATGTTTTAAGGTGTATTATTTTGACAAATGAAAGCTGGATGAACAACCCACAAAATTTCCCTTTCTGAGCTATTTTCTTCTTCTGGCCTGATAAGGACTCAACATCTTCAGAATGGGTGATGAAGCATGCTGTGTGATCCTCGTAATGTTTCCAGAATTATAACTTAACATGAGCAAAGGAGCCCTGGATTGAATACAAAGAGCTCTGCTATAAATTTGGGAATATTTTTTCAAAATGCTAACAAACACGGACCATCTGAGTTTGCCTGTCCTGATTATAGCTTTTAGTAATAAAGTATTTTTTAAGCATGTCAGCCTAAGAAAGAAAGCTGCTCTCAGATCTCTGCTGATTCTCTAACCAGGTTTGTAAAACATGGTTCTTACCTATATAAAAATGTTCACTCTCCTTAGTCTAAGCAAATATCAGTCTTCTCCAAGCTGATCAAAATCTTTTTTACCAGGACTTATCTGTCATGACTCCCCTATACAACACCTCTGTTTAGGTTATTTTTTCTAATCCACTCACTGTTTTCTTGTATTCTCCACCCCCTGTTAACCCCATCATATTCAGTATTATTCTTGTCTTCTTAACGAGATCAAATTTTA